GCAGTAAGAACTTTTTTGTCCTCGGCTCCAGACAAAGAGTTTTTGTTTTGTTTTTATTTTGAGCTCCCATTTTGGATTTTGTAACTTTGCACGACACTCATGGAAGTCTTCTCCTAACATTTTAATGTAACATGCAAAACTCTCCTACCAATTTGTTTTAGAGAAAATAAGGACCACAAGTTGCTTTCATGATTGATCTTTGCAAAAGTGCAAGACATCCGATATATATGAATCAAGCCACACCTATGGGCCACATCAGGTATTATATTGTTGGGTGAAGGAAACATATACCACATGCATCCTAGAATGAATTGAGCCATCATTTTGGAAAGATTCATTGTGCTGCTAAATTAAGTTAATAAAACATAATTGAACCATAAGTGATACAAACATGCAGCATCGAAAGCAGAAGGCACACCTGGTCGTACCCATTGTAGGAGGTGAGTAGCGCTCTCATTGCTCTAGGAAGCAAAAAAAATTGGGTGCATATTTCTTCTTGATACATAAAGTCATAGTTCCTTCAATGTTGCTCTAGTTTTTTTTTTGTGTAACTATTTTTGAAGCTAATAAAGGTTTCCTGTTGAAATGTTGTAACTCATCTAGCTCTGGTTTTCAATGGTGATTTCCATTTTCTACAGATATAAAAAATAGTTTAGTCTAAATGTTCAAAGTAATTCATTTTATATAAAACTAACACAAAATTAAAAATATAGTACTTCTTTTTGTTGTCGATTTGGACTAATTTGGATCTTATGTGTTCTTGTTTCCATTGCTCCATTGCTCATCACTTGCTATATTTTTTGAATTATCATTTCATGCTTTGCTTTTATTTGATCACATTATTAGTTGATTTCATGATGTTTGAGACCCTGTTTTTTCTGAAACCACCTAATCATCCATTGACATAGATCAAAGTACTAGCGATGCATTGACAAAATAGGATCTGTATATGATGGCTTGCCATATGTGATGTTGGTGTTATCTTCTGGATCTTCTATGTAACATGCAACTCTCCTACCAATTTGTTTTAGAAAAAAAAGTAGATCTTTGCAAAGTATAAGACATCCGATAGATGAATCAAGCCACAACTATGGGTCACATCAACTATTGTTGGGTGAAGGAAATATACCACATGCATCCTAGAATGAATTGAGCCATCCTTATAGGGTGGGAAGAATACCTGGCCGTCACCTTAGCATCTTCCTGGGTGGGGTACTAGCAACAAAAGATCTTTGTGGTGGTTTGAGGACTGCGTGGCAATGAGGGACTACGTCTGGGCTAGCAACCAGATCCAGAGGACAATGATGGAGTTGAAGTGGCTTTGGGGTACTGCTGAGATGGTTAGTCATTGATCTACATGGCACCGAAGTTGACATAGTTTCAACATGGAGCTCTATCACGTCTACCTTCTTGTGCAACACTTAACATAATGCCTACTCGGTGCATGAGTTCGATCTCTTAAATCCCAATGTGGACCTCGTTTTCATCCACGACTACTATCTCTAGGTGATCCCTACCATATTCTGCCACAAATTGTCATCGATGGGCGTGGGCAGCGACGAGCTCAGCAGCATGGCTCCATGTGTTTGTTTTGATTTTTTTTTTTCATTGATTTCCAGAGGTGGGTGACTCAAGTCACTCACCTCTAGAACGAAATAATGTTTTCAGAGGTAGAAGTTAGCACCTCTTGTGGAATTTCTTAATTATAGCATAGACACCCCTTGATGGGTGGGACACACAAACATCTCTCTAAAATTCATTTTCCCATTCAACAAAATGGTCTTATAGTAGTACGTGGCACTCTCGTGCTATGTACCTCATGGATCAGGACATCTCATCGCGCGTGTGTGTGTGTGTTTATATTATCTCCTCCTCATGGATCATGCCATTGGTAGTATTCACG